CAAAGGAAGGCGAAAAACGCTATTATTATCATTAGGCGGCTTCGTCGCGCATGAGATTTTCACCGTCTATAGCATTATGTATCGCGTGCCTTTGCTTCTTCGGTGTGCAAAAATACCACATACACAAGAACCACATTACTCACGAGGGGTCTATTACGTACACTAATATTTGAGTCGCACGAACGGCTTTTTAGCTGAAATAATCTGAGTCGATTCACTGAACGGAAAACCATATTTCTTCAATTGACTTTTCTTTTTATTATATACCCGAATGTTTCACTCTGCTGAGTAAATTTTATTTTCTCAATCTGTTCCCCGCAATATTTTGTATGAAAGGCCTTAAATACTTTAATTCACGGTGTCATTAATACAGAGTAAAAAGAGATCTGCCTTTTTAAGCTCCTTTTCTTTGACAATAAAGGGGGTCCATCTACATGCAGACCTTCTCTCTCTCTCTCTCTCTCTCTCTCTCTCTCTCTCTCTCTCTCTCTCTCTCTCTCTCTCTCTCTCTCTTCTCTCTCGTTTTTCAAACGTCAAACGCATATACTCACCTAGCCTTTCTCATCTTTGCACAATGCCATACGTTTACCCTTCCCTTTCACATGGAGTCCTGTTCTGCCATTCGTCTGCGATTGTACTTTTCACTCTTGCTCCCTTTTCCTTTTATAATAATTTTTGAGTGAACACCTGCAGCGGCACGTGTATGCCGCTGGGAAATGATTTTTCTATAATAGTAACTGTAGCGTACATCACTTTGTCGTATATTCAGTGCACAAACGAACAGAGGCAGAGAGAGGGAGAGAAAAAGAGAGAGAACGATTGTGGCCACCAAACCATCGGTATAAGGCGCGCACTTTAGATCGTCGATTTACTTCCTCATTTTCTCCTCTATATAACACATCCATTTCCTTGGTGGCCGCAATCTTTCTCCATCCGTCCTTTAAGAGAGCGAGCGTTGTGGCGTAGCCTCCCTCATCCGGCCATATGAAGCTCGTCTTCCATCACTTAAACAATTGTAGGCAACGCTTCTCTCTCACTCTTTCTGTGCCACTATACGCATAAACACAAATGCTATAAGAGTCTCGGGACGCGCGACATCCGTGCTGCAGCAGTTCGCCGTCGTCAATGAAAATAAAACTGCTCATAACTCCGAACAATTAACCTGAGTGACACTTTCGTTGATATATTATACCCCAGACGTGAATAGAGCTGCAGCAGTCATACTGCTGCTCTCTTCGATTTCCGTTAATTGTCTTGACGCAGTCTAGCGTGAAGCTACGCTCACAATACGGTAAATTAAATAGGGGTTGCACGACACACGCCATCACCTATAGCGATACGCACGCGGGGCCAGTGGTTTCGTCGAGATTTATTATCTCGCGCGCTTCCTCACGATAATCCACCGATACGCAAAGCTATACCTAGAAACGCGATATCAAGTTGGATTTAGGCTACGCAAACAATCAGCCGTGATTATATGATGCATTTCCAAATTTACGTTTCTATTCCGGAGAATGGAGAACATTTTGATGATAAAACGCGTCGCAGGGCAAGCGCACTTGACGAAGTCGATGCACTATATGCCGCCGCGGCGGCTATAATTTCACGCAAGCGTAGCACACGTACATCGTAACGCATAAGACGTAACCTTTTATATTATTGATCTGTCTTACTATAACCCTATGTATTTTTTAAAACAACCCGATTGAAAAAGGAAAGTCCGTGCTGCCGCGCAGAACGACGTAAGTATAAATTTGCAATCCTTATAAGCGCCAAAGTATTTGCGCCGACTAGAGTGCATGTGTATATCAACGGTTGAATAATACGTCACGCTATCGCTATTCTTTTGTACATTGATAATAAAAGCAATTTAACCTAACAAAAATGTTCATCGGCTTATGCAACTCCACTTTCGCTTTGATTGGAATTTTGTTAACGTTATCAAAAACTATTATGTAATCTCGTCCATTTCGTTTATTTTATTTTTTCCCCATATTTAGAATTAGATTTAGGGCTATTTTAATACCTCAGGAATAAACCACGAGTTTATGTTGTTAACATTTAATCAACTGTTACTATGGAATATCTGAGAAACGGACATCGGATTGGACTCAGGTAGATTTATGAGTTTATATCATCAACGCAATGACACCTGTGCAATAAAAGCTCACGCAAGCTTGTATTTTCCACCACCACAAAAGCTTTGGCATCCTTGTCCGTCTCAAAGTCGAAAAAACTCAAAAGCTTCGAAGGAATCTTAAGTGAGAAAGAACTTACCGGAAAAAGCTCCGAAATTCCTGCGGTGCGTCGTCGCTAGCCGGATGCCGGATCAATAGGACGAGCGTCAGCGGTACATTGCACTCCCATCCACGATCATCGCACGTCGCGCACGAGCACCACAACCACTGCACAATAGGAACCCTTCGCTGCAATGATTTTGATATTACGAGAACGCGAAAATCAGGACAATGAAATATTCCCGCGACGAAAAAAATGCGTTAACACTGACGACGGCTCTGCAGCCTTAGCCAAGTCTGCCTCGCGTGTACATACACATGCACGTCGGCGGTGGCTGGAGCTTCTGCGCCGGCTCGAGCGGTCGTCAAGGCGACGGCTTTCGACGGCACGCTGACGTCTCTGTTTCTCTCACGCTTCGCGCATCGATCCGTGGTCGCACACACGGAAAAAAGCTTCGCTTTGTCTCCGCGTTTCTCGTACTGTTTTATCCCGCGGGTTGGGGTTCTGAGCTTGAAGCCGCCGACGCTTACTTCAACGAACTTTCGAGCGTTACTCGGTGAGCGGCGCTGTCGCTCGAAAGCGCATCGACTACTTATAGAGGTACACCTTTTGAACGTGTTAGATTTAGCTGTATTTTTTCAACTTGCTTATAATTTTTTTTTATGAGGATTACTGTACATATCGTTTATAATTTATAACGTAATCGTTCAATTTGAAGCCATCGTATCATCATCATGATACCTTTTCAGTATTTTGTCTCGCGATATTCATTACAGAATAAATCGCTGGAATTACAACATGTTAGCTTAAATATTTCAAAACATTATATGGATTTTTTAATATCTTTTTTTCTTAATATCTCCTTGCATCTTCATCTATTAAGGATGAAATTAAATTTGAATTGAAATTTTATATAATTTTTAACGCATTGGATGGAATCGATTGCAGTTCTTGGTATTTTAAGCATCTTGATGATTCATACGTGACCAAAAAGTCGTAGTACAATTAGCGTATATAAATAAAAATTCAATTGAATTTATATATCTTTCCAAGATTTTATTTTGATTCTGCCACAGTTATATAAATCCCTAAAATAATTATGTACCATTTATGAATTCTGTTTGAAATACTTATGTAAGAATGTATATATTGATAGTAACATTTACAATAATTACAATAATTACTCAAGTGATCCCTTTATCATATTTAATTATAGGAATAACCAGAAGATGTTTAATAGCTTTGTATGTTGTAACAATAACAATGAATTTAATTAATTAATTTTTTCTGATAGATAGCGAAACTATACCTACAGTATAGTTAGATACTTATATGCGTGATGATAGTACATAACATAGTAAAGAAAAAGAAAAAATTAAGGTTCATCAATTATGAATAAAAAGTAAAAGCACATCTAGAAAAAAATAGTTTAACACACCGATTACTGAAACAAATTAACCATCGATTAAATTACAAATAATTAATACTAGTTCAATTTGTTAATGAAGACCGTCAAACTGATAAATAAAAAATCAGTGATGCGTGAGTCTTAACCCCTGACAGCAAACTACACTTTTTGCAGCTATGTATCAGTATTAGCCTAAAGTTCGAAAATTACGATAAAAATATACCGACCTTTTCTACTTTTCGGCAGTCATTGAACAGGTAAAATTGCCAAAATTGTTAATTGATATCATGTTATTATTAAATATAATTTACAAAAATAAAAAGGGATTTTTATTGAAAAACTTCTTGATATTATTTCTAATTACAATTCGTAGAATTTATCAAATAACTTACGTGTACAAAATCTGTGCTATAGTATATTTTTTGATTGTCAATATTGCATAAAGTTAAGATTATTTATTAGAATTGCATTAAATGGCTTCAACTCACGAGTTTATCCCTACATAGACAGATACAGGTAATGATGAAATTATTCTGATTGACTAATCATTTATTATTGACAAGATATACAGGAAAATGTTGCTCCTTAACTCAAACAATTAAAAGTGTTTGCGACATTCATTGTTTTTAGTGATTTGAGTGTTTAAATATTTTTATAATATATTTATTTAATGTTGCATTCCCCAGGGTAGGTATTAGCGATAATGGTACAAAGATATAAAAAAATAAAAATATTCATATATAGGCTATTTACAAAAAAGGTTGAACATAAAGTTATAATGCGTATTTAAATATATTACATGATTTTTAAGATTTTTAATTAAAAAAAATGTAATTACACTTTGGCACTGTTGAACATTATCGATTAGTTTTTATTTCACTTAATAACTTAAAATTTAGTTGTTCGTTTTCTGATCCTGGAAATTATAAAAGTATGTGTTGAATATTCAACATAATTGATACATACTATTTATCTGTTATAATTTTATAAATGATATCGAAATATGCTTGAGCGAAGCCACGACGGATCTGCTAATTAAAATATATAAAGATTTCGATCAATATTTAAAAATAATTATATCAAAATACTTGACTTACGTATCATTGGTAAGAATTATTTAATTAGTAGAAAATATCACTCAAACTATAATTTGATATATAATGTATAGAAGATGACAAAAGTATTTCACTTGAATTAAATTTTTAAGGAAAAATTCGGATCTCGTACAAATATTTGCGCTTATCAAAGTTCTTATCTACACGTATTGATAGGTCTGACTTCAAGCATATTATATCATTCTTTTAAACTCACATAAGTAAGATCAACATTTTATAAGTTTATAGTTATACGAATCATGAAGAACATACTTTTAATCGCAGTTTTAAACATAATCTGCTGGAAGTTATGTGAGTACAGTAAATAATTAAATTTAATAAATTCATATGAATATATCAGTTCTTTTGGTTCAAAATGGCAATGATATCTTTGTATAAAATGTTTTGCCACAACGATAAAATTTCACATGTAAAACTATTTTTGAAAGTATACACCAAATAGATTAATGTACTTTTATTAATATATATGTGTAAGGGGAACGCCATGAATATCGATAAATATCCAATATCTCTAACATATTGCATAACGCCCTCGTTGACGCTGTTCTTGATCAGTGTAGATAAAGAAAGGAAAAAAATTTTTTTTATCTTTTGAAACAGATTTGTTAACTTTTTCAGAAATAATAGCCATCAATGTTGTGGGCAGTATAAATACATGCAATCGACAGCATGTATTTGTTGACAGTTTTTTTCTGAAAAGGTTAACATATCTGTTAATGAAACATTGAAACATTTTTTCTTTCTGTCATTACCTACGTATTTTGATAAAAAAATCTATTATATAAATTAATTTTTTTATTTATTTAGCATTTTCAATATGAAGTACTAACCCGTGAAATTTAATTTTCTGATAAGTCCAATTGTTTCCAGAGGGATCTTGAACTTTCAAAAAATAGATAGTTTGCTTTTGACAAACAAATCTTTCTGTTATCGAGTAAATTATTTTTAGAATAAGCTTACACTTTATTGTAACTAATGTTTTCTTTGCGCTTAAAGCAGAGCTTCCTTTGTATTTCATATAATCGTATTACCACAAACTATATTTAGATTTTTCACAAACCTTAAAAGTTGTTATTCTTTTCCGCGTATTGAAAAGAAAAAATTTCCATTCACTTACTCTATGTTCAACACAAGAATTTTTTATACAAATAATTATAATATTACAGCTTTGACCTTAAAACCAAGAATAGCACAAGGATCATTTGTTAATATTGAAGATTATCCATACCAGGTGCTCTTTTCATTATAATAAATTATGTACATAACTCTGCGATAAATATATATTTAACTTGAATTAATACTGATCTCACATCGTTATTCACAGAATATTTAACATAGAATTTTTATAATAAATTTTACAGTTTTTTAAATTTATATTGATCGACATTATAAAAATTATATAAATTCGTAAAATATTTGTTTGCTCTCACTTCAAGGCTAATTTAATTGATTATGGATCTGATGAACGAACGTACAAAGAACCTATCTGCGGTGCAAGTATAATTTCTAGCCAATGGTTAGTTACAGCTGGTCATTGTTTAGTGTATGTTAAACATTTGTTTCAGTTTTTAAAGTAATATCAAACGCTGATTAAATGTCTTTTCTATGACTATTTACTTATTTTTTTTTATTAGAGATAAACCGAAAGAAGAATTAAAAGTAAGAACAGGAGCTACATACAGATACAACGATGGTAAAGAACATGAAATTGACGAGATGATAATCCATCCTGATTTTGAAAGATATTATTATACAATTTCTAACGACATCGCTCTTATTAAGGTTGAGAAAATATTAATTTTCTATTTTTGATTCGTAAAAAGGATGAAAATCTATTTTAATATATACATTCATTTGTAGCTGACAGAACCGATCGAAGTGAACAGTGTTCAAAAACCTATCTTATTGCCAACTTCATTTGACAAACCTGTACCAGGAAAAAAGTTAACGATTACAGGATTTGGAAGAGAAGGCATGGTTAGTTTTTATAGAGGTTTTATAACCATAAAAAATCTTTAATGCATTCAATAAAATAATTTATATTCCAGAATGACGACGGTAAAACACCGCAGTTAAAAGTTGCTAAGCTAACTATTGTAAGCTTGGGCAAATGTCGAGAGCTCTATTATTTCGATCCAGTGACTGACAATGTATTATGTGCGGGTACCGACGCTGCAAGCACTTGTAACGGAGACTCTGGAGGCCCAGCTGTTATGCATGGCAGACTAGCAGGAATTGTTTCTTCAGGATTTCTTTGCAGTACAATTGATATACCGGCAACTTTTACGAATATAAATAAATATATCAATTGGATTTTGAAATATGTAAAAATCTAGTTAGTTAAATTTAATAATCATACTATTTAGGATAAATAAAATAATTAAATTCATGAGCCTCAAAAATGATAATTTGATTTGAACATTCCATAACCAATTTCATTCTAAATTAAGAAAAATATGTAAATGTCTTGCAATAATTTACTTACAAATACATATATTATTAGTAAATGAACAAGTGACATTATAGGTACAATATTATCTTGAATTGTGATGTAGACCAACGAACAAAGATAAAATATAAGCACGTGAATGACAAAACATGAGGAGAGTAGACGTGTCTAAATTCGAATTTCGGGCAACAATTGGGAAAAAAGAAAATATCGAGTGAAAAGACTCAACACTGGCACGGCTCATAATTACCCGCAATAGGCCGGGGCTGACGCACCTGAAGACGTGGCAAGATGGTCGCACATGCGAGCCAGATGAGGAAATGTGTCGCACGTCGGGGTTTCGTGCACCTATCTGTATTAATTAATTAATTTATGACATCTGTCTTTTTTCGTAGCGTGTGCGTTAAGTGTTACACTTGTGAATCCATACGATGAGACGTGAAAGCAAATCGTCAAATGTATTGCGAGCACTCGATGCTACCCAGATGAAAAAAATGAATGCGTATGCGTGTTGCTAGAAATAAGTTATATTGTATTAACAAATTGTAATTCTCTGAGCAGAAAGAAACGACTGTCGTCGCAGCCGTCAACCGCAAGTAGTCGTTAGGAATTGGAAATTTCGTCAATAGATTGATTGGATCGATCAATGAAATGCGGATCGCAACGTGCACGACTATTCCTAAAGGTAAGAAGAGGACAATCGGTAATAGGGCGGCCAAAGCTAAGCGAATGGAATGTCGAAAATGTAGATAAGGCTGAACCAACGACGTCCACGGTTGCAGATGCAGTGGCTGTAAAGACAGACTAGCGCTCTGACAGACACGTTCGCTTTTACCTATTGTCACACGTTACGAAGTAACATTCCGTTAATACTTATATTTGCTTAACACGACTTTGTAGTATTTTTGCATTGTGGTTTCTGCTGTAACTTCAAGTTAGCATCAATTAATAATAAAACATTGCATTTGTCTCACTCAATATCGCTGCCTTACTTTACATAAGATTTTCACCCAAACATTCAGTAATAATAATACTAATCATAATTGGTAATATTACCAATTATCATTTTTTTACAATATTAGATATTAAAACTTAATACCACAGTAATATTAGATTTTATTTCAGTGTCTCCTGATTTATGCAACCCGTCTCACAGATACGTACCGTTTCCAAGCTCATGCAGGTGTTGTCTGCAAAAACAAGTTATGGTCGAAACTGGCTTAGGTCAAAATTGCTATCAAGCAATAAGGTAAAATCATTTAAAAAAACGAGAACGACAAGCTTGTTTGCCGTCGTCTTATCAATCATGAGTAATTCCTTCTCATTACTTTTTTAAAAATATTATTGTCAATTCATGTTCTGCTTCATTTCTAATACTTATAGTATTATTTATTAATCACCCATTACAATTTTTCTTTAATTAATCGAATATCCAGGATTTCTGATTTCTGTTGACTAATTAAAGTAGTCGATATCTTTATTATAATAGTTATAACCGTATCTAGCTTACAAGATATTTATGATAAAAAAAACTTTATATATAGGAATCAACAAATACACAGTGCAAGCCATTGTTATATATTTTGATGTTTTCATTGTGGATTTTATTTATTCATAGATAAATAAAGTTCAGTTCTGCATTATCATTACACAAAATCTTACAAAATTTACAAAGTAAACCAAGTTATAAAAATACATCAACTGAAACAACTATTTTTAAATTAATATTTTCTTAAACCAAAATAACTGTTCACTAAAAAATTATTCAAATTAACTCAACTTCTATTAATATTTTTAAATAATAAGTTAATCTCATCTTATTCTTAGATTAAACAGGAAGAATACACAACAACACGACTAGAATACAATAAAAGTAGGTATAACAGATGTACATACAATATTAACATAATTTTTCATACATATCAGAAAACTACTTCACATAGAGCTGCAAATAAGTTCATTATTTGCATCTAATTTTTCACCATACATTTTGGCTTCTAAAATAGTTAACTTGAAGTCGTTAACGATAGCAATACATTGTCGTTTAACAAAGTAAGGACGCGTCTGCATTTGAAATGAGTAAAGTTTATCAACTTTCATTTGAATACTTGAATGGAACTTGAAATATTCAATTCCTGGAATTATGAAAAATTCATTTAGTTAGCTTTTCAATTATTTTTACGGTATCTTACATATCTATTGAATATTCAAACTAAGAACCTTTGTACTCATAAATTTGAATCCTCCTTTTATTCTCAGAGAAAACTAATAAGCTTTCATACAGTCCATCAAAGTTTATCATAGTAAATGAATTTGGTTTTTGTGTATGTATAGATTGTAATTCTTTTAGTTCGAATAAGTCTTCATTATAAATCTAAAAATAAAGTATTTTATTAAATTTGTATTGTATTATTTGTTACTTATACACTTTAAAACGATCTTACGAAAATATGATCACTATTTATCTGATCATCGTGTAATAGTATATATTCTTTTTGATGAATACCAGCTTTCAAACTTAAGATATTAGTAGATTTGAATGGATTTTCTATTTCGTTTATTTTAAACGTTCTATTTTGTAATTGATAAATTATATCGCAGCTTGCCAATAAAATATCTGCATCATGTGTAAGGAATTTAATGTTATTATGTTTAATTCCTCTTGTATTTGTCGGTTTGTATATGTGTTGATTTATGTTCTCTATTGACCATTCCTGTATTTGATGATCAACAATCAAAACAAAAGTAACTTCACTTAGTTTTTCTGTGCTTGTTACATTGCCTAGATCATAGATATGCTGAAAAAATGCGATAGTATTAATTTTTCTTATTAAAATAAATATAATATAATATTTATAAGAGACTTTAATTTATTTACTTTCACTTGTTTGTTTTCTAACATCCATACATTTCCTGAATTCTTTCCACATTGAGCTTTCCCAACAGTTACAAAGTATAATTTCTTGTTATAATTAAAATCGAGATATTGATTGATATTTCCAAAGTTGGAAATATTTGCAAATAATGAAAACCCTTCATTCGTGTGTACATAAATATCCATATGACATATTTCAAAATTAACTAAAACATAATCTGTATCGTTAAATTCAAAATGATAAATACTTTCAATCTTTTTATCGAACTTAAGAACTCGATAATATTCAAATGATTTAAATTTATACACTAAATGATCTATTTGGGTTTTTGTTTTTTGTAAATTCTTACAAAAAGTTTTAATATCTTCCTGTAAATAAATGTATACAAATAAATTATCATGAGTAATAAACTATATTTCAGTTATATCGTAATCTTACCGTTTTATTCAAAATAAACTTCTCCATCTCCTCGTTTTCTCTTCGTATAGAATTTGAAAAACGATCAATGGAAATATCATTGATAAATCCGGAACCATATAAATGGTTTTCAAAAGTACTATTATAATTAATAGTCCAATTTCCCTTTAAAATATATTTTGACGGTAATGATATTGTAATAGCGTTAGAATGCCATTGTGAAATATTGATATTATTGTTTAAAAACTCTTGCACTACCATGTCACTATTAATCACTACGGGTCTTTCAAAAACGAAATTCCCTAGAAATATGTTAATATTAATAGTGATTATTAAATACCGAAAATGTTTCATTTTAATTTACCTTCCATCGTGTCATTGTTTTCTAATGATATTATTTTTATAATGTCTATATTATTTACATAACGTGATATCAAATCACCATGAACATGAACATTGTTTAAAAATGATATTGTACCATTAACATGTTGATCAGTAGATATCTAAAAATATAAAATTAGTAGTAATAGATTCTATTTCAACCAAAACACGATATTTGTCATATTACAAACCATGAAAGTATTTTCATAGACTTTCATTAAATTTTCGTTATTTAATGAACCGCTTATTGTCAAATTATTGACATTAATATTGACACATGCTAAAGTACCATCTATTACTTCATCTTTGTTCAACATTAAAACCATATCTAGATTTGTATTGTTCCAATACATGGCTGTTATATCTGACTTGAAGATTACATTTGAAACTGTGACACTTTCTAAAAACGCACAATATTAATATAAATTCATCAAGCCTTGTACCTTTGCATTTTATATTTAAAAAAATGACAAACGTATAAGATTCTTATTAAAAAATTTGATACATACCCATTATAGATGTTGGACGATTAAAATATACAGCATTTTCCATCATATTTTCAACATTAATACCTTTTATTGTATTAACCTTTAAGCTATTTTGTATAACTAAATCTTTTTCTAACAGTACATCATTTTCGAAAATAAGAGCGGAATTAATGATAGCGGATTTATCTATAAAAATTCCATACTTATAAAATAATTCTAATTCAACATCATTCAATCTTTTTGAAGCAGTAACATAATCATTGAATTTAACAGTATTGTTGAAAATTTTTGTAGATGAAATCATAACTCTTGTATCATTCAGGTAGATAAGGTTATCTAAAAATTGAATAATATCCTTTTCTTGAATCTGTCCCGCTACTATTAAATTTTTTATAGATAAATAATCGTCTATCAAGAAATCTCCAGTAAAAGTGTAAATTGTATCATTTACTTTTTCAATGTCCACATGCATATTTTCATAATTGACATCGTTAATTTTTCCACGGGAATCAAATTTTTCAAGAACGTATACTGAACCTAGAATGTTAAAAATAGATGTAGTTTTACTGAAATTTATTGAAATTTAGCAATTTCTATTAGTTTTCAATTTGTCAAAATCATTGAAATTCCCTACATTGCAATTATAATCATAATTTGAAATGGTTTAAAATTAATTGAAATTGATACCTTTTATAATAATAGGACCAATTAAAGTTTGGTTTTTTGTATGCGTGACAATATCTTGTACAGAATGATTATTTAAATATTTTACTTCTAAATTAAGAGTCTTAAATCTGTTAATTTTTTTAGGTCCTTTTATAATAATGGTTTCTTCATTTTTCAATACACAATCAGACATTTTTTTAGTCAAATTTAAATTATTTATCAATCCTTGTACTGTTAAATGTTCTACTGATCCATTTGTTTGAAGTAAAAATTCTGCTATTTCATGAAGATCCAAAAAGTCATGAAGGATTTTATCATTAATTTGCGGTGTTATAATAAACTTATTGATATTAAGTGAGTATATAGATCTTTGATTGTCTATGAATCTTCTATAAAGTAAATTAATTTTTCTAACTATATTATTCAATTTCTCATAAGATCTATTATTTATAAATCTTGAATGTAAATTTTTCGTTTCAAAATTATTTATCTTGATCATTCCAGATATTTCTTGATAAGTATTTTTCGTAATTTTCTTATCTTCAAGGTCTGTTATGTTAATATTATTGACACTAAGTGCTTTTAATTTTTTAACTATCAATTTTTTACACTTTAAATTTTCAAAATTGATATCATTCAATAGAACTTCAAATTTATTAGAAAAATCAGATCCTGTGATATTTCCATTTATAAAAGAAGAAACAAATTCATCCACGACAGGTGCCTCCAAAAATACAAAAGTTTTCATAGAACACTTTGGTACACCTGTATCATCTATATCTATTCTTAGTTTATCTTCTATATTTTCCAATTCTTTATACGTCACACCAGTAAATTTTATGTTTCCAGTTATTTTTGATAAATCTATACAATAGTAAATTATTACATTACTTTCAAAATAATTAAATTCTTACTTGATAATATTTCACTGTAGTAATTTAAACAAACACTGTAATTTCAATAATTATAAAATTCTTACTTGGCATGATTTGACGAGAATCTAAGGTAATGAAATTCTTAATAGGATGTTCATTTATTAGGTTTGTTGTTATTTCTATATTACCAAGAATTCGCACGTTGTTTGAAAAAATTTTTGTGCCGGTCACAATTGCACTTTCATCATCTTTTAAAATCAAATCATCTATTTCTGACCACTCAATTCCATCGATTAAATTTTCAACATACACTTTTCCAGAAACATACAAATTTCGAAACATTGCATTCGACTGAACAATATTGCTATTCAATAAAGTTAAGTCGGGGTTAACATATTGATCTGGCGATCCAATAATTCTTCCATCAACCTGGATTACAAATGATATAATTTAAATAAATTTTTTATTAAAAAATCTAGTAAATTTCTTCATACGTGAATTTTATTAAAAAGTATGTGTATCATTGATTTTTAAATATCATACTTGTAAATTTTCTTCTATTACTACATTTTCAAATGATATTTTATGTTCTAAATTTTGATTTGCGGTTAGAGTAATAAATTCATCGGCATCAATATCGTTTATTATTTTTACATCTCGCAAATCCGACACAGTAAGAGTTTCAAAAGATTTGAAACCAGTCACCTCACCATTTTTTGGACCACTTTTCACAACGTATTCATGTGGATATTCAAAATCATTTAAATAACTGATTTGAGTAAAACTTGTTTTCATTATCTAAAAATTATAAAATATTTTATACGTTATTTTTACGATTAATAAATTATGCCTTACCCCTGAAAACTGTGTACGACCAGGTATAACTTTTTTTTTGTTTCTGAACACTAACTGATCTATTAACATATTCCAATTGATGTCATTAATTGTTGAAACATTTAAATTATTTTTTAGTTGTAGTTTCTTTATTTTTGTAAGATCAATGTCTGTCAAATGTAAATTATCTTCTTCAAATTGAAAATTCTCTATTGGAACTCCATTAAGATTTTTTATTTTTAAATGTCCTTCCGCAAAATTTACGGTCGGAAACGTTTTATTTCCGATTATTTTTTTATCAGTAATCAAGCAGTTATTCATCAATATATCTACATCAATGTTGTTCAGGTAATCAGTAAATAAACTCTTGACTACTGCAGTACCATTTATTACAAGATTTCCATCTATATAAATTTCTTCAAGAAATGATATATGATTCAACGATATAGTATCCATACTCTTTATTTGATTTTCTATTTGGCTAATTTCATTTTCTAACTCATATAGAAGAGTTTTGGATTCATCATAATATCGTTGTAATTTATCTAAAGTAATATTACTAGATTCAATAGAAATTATAAAATTATTGGTTTCGTTTACAGAAAGATTGTCTACTTCTATTTGTGTGTTAGTGTTGAGGTTTTGAATCTTTAAATCGTTCGAGTAATTTGATTGTGTTTCTAATACAATTTTAGAAATTTTCAATTCTTGATTATTAAAAGTATCCTGTAATGGGATTAAATTTCTTATTTTACGAATATATTAAATTTAATGTTATTACTCCTTTCTATAATAAGAAAACCGTGAAGTTTTTACTTTATAATAATTACCTCTAGAATAGATTTTATTCTGAACAAAGACTCTATGTCACTCTTTTTAGGTTTTGGTAATTGTACTAACTCAACTTTCAATTTGAGAAAAGTACTATTAGGATATAAAAATCCATAATTTGGAATAACAATTAGTTTCGCTAAATCAAAACCATTAATATTATTATTTGGCAGGTGGATGAACTGAAATTTTTCATTTTCCCAAGATAATGCGAATACTGAAAAATTTTTTGATTGTACGAACAAAATTACATCATTTCTGTACGTATCTATAGGCCAATCCTTTGTAAAATGTATATCTCCAATTTCTATAAATTATAATTTTCAATGAGAATTATTTTAATTAACGACTTATAAAATTTTACATATATCATTACAAAACAAATACCATTCAGTAAAGATTCCACTTCTTTCTCGTATATAAATTCATTGGAACGAAGCTTGAAAAAATTTATTACAAAACCTGATATTACTAGATGATTGATGTTGCTACTTTCAAAACATATTACATTATTAACATTGGAAACCGTAATATTTTTTACAGATTTTAAAGAGCATTTCGATAAAATGTCCTTATACTCATGTAAAGTTACATAATCTCTATCTATCAGAGTAAAAGTCTTACTGCCTTCTCCTAATGGACAAATTCGAATATCAGATATTTCATTTACTACAAATTGACAACATAATCTGAAATGAAAAGTTAGCTTATTGAAAAAATTGATTCACTGTATTCTCATCCAATATAAAAGTGTACGTACCGTTTAGAAAACTGCCGACTAGTATTTATATCATAAACTTCAATAAGTAAATAACTACGATTAAAATATACATCTCTTTCATAAAGCACCATCAATTTATGCTTGTCGGCGGCATTAAAATATGTTAAACTTTTGACCGGTTTAAGTAACTCCCAAATCCAAAATGAATAAAATTGTTGATTTTGTAAAAAGTACCATTTCAAATATTGAATACTTTGATTTTCCAGTAAAGCATTTTCTACGGATAAAATAACGACTATTGATTCTTTAATTTCTGTAGATTCTTCATTGATGGATGGAAAACTAATTATTTTGAAAGATTTAATTGTTTCAGCGACTGATAAGTTTGCACGAGAAGTCATACTATTATTATGAGGATCAAAATGGTACAAAAATAATGTTGTATTTACAGTACCGGCTATATACGTCTCGTATTTATGTTTTACGTATTGCCAATTTGTTATATTTTGCTGTAAGTTTAAGTTTTGATATATTTGTATATCGATGATGCGTAATTCTGAAATTGATCAACATATTTCATAAAAAACTTTGAATATAAGTAAACCGTTATTATTGTCAATGAATAAACTAAATTTAAGTATTATCACTCGTGTGAATATTCCTCACTCTGTTAGAAATTATATCATAAACTAACCTTCATGGTTTACAAAACCTCTTTTAAAATCATATTCATTCCAAAGCCATGTTTCTTTGTCAAATTGACCTGGAATTTCTTCGTCCGATGAAATGAGTGTATCGACATATTTTGAAAAATTTTCTACGTTTTCTCCATATAAGACATTTATATCAATCGTAATAGTACACGTAACAAATACAAGAAAATTCTTTGTTATCATTTTCGGTTTTGATAAAGCAAATACGTTCTTCTGATAACTAATTTTCAATACTGTGATAATTTTATTGATATACTATTTAAATATTATGTTGTTTTCGGCAACAAACTTAGCATAGGTAAAAATTAAGCGTGCTAGTATGATGTATACTTATAGAAGACTATACTTATGCACGAATTTAGAAATACAAAGACTAAGTAACTCGTCATGAGTATGAGTCGCAAATGCTTACAGCTTTCTACTTTGCACGGCAGCGCTTGATAACTTACTCGGCGAAATTCAATAAACAGACAAACAAAAACAATGAGATTGGATAGTTAAGTACGTGAAATTTCCATATCCCATTTGAAATTTAGTATTAACGAAAAACGTTAAAATTCACAATATTTTTAAATAGCAATAAAACAATAAAAATGTTATAAATCGATTTTATTTATACAACATTTATTTTAAATAATATTTCCACAGTAATAGTATTTTAATATAAATAACTGATGAATAATGTATTATTAGAATTATTACTTCTCTTATCTAACAGTGTAATTTTAAACAATGACAATATTAATCAACATACTGTACATGATTAAAATAAAATGTCCTTGTTTCTAATTATTTTACTTATCGTCAATATATTACTAATAAATAATTCATCTATATCTTTCAAAATTGAATTACAGTAAGAACACATTGAGCATAAAATATTAATTATTATTACATAACCACTTAAACTTACAAAATTATAAGATTTCACTTAAATAAAATTAAAAAAAAATATTTCTAAAGCTTAATAAACATTTTCATACATTTTAACTATATTTCACTAGTAAATAACGGAGTTACTATAGTATAACTTATTTCATCTAATATTCATGGCGAAGATAAATAATTTTCAAATCAATGGCAAATTATTTATAAACTTTTATAAAAACTACGAGCCAATTTCTGTCGATAAATTGAATGAATTTTACACTTCGAAATAAGTACAAAATGAAAGTTAAACAGCAATTGTTAACGCGACTTTCTACGGGATCTTGACCGGTATAAACCGTGTTTTATCACCAACTTTCGGTGAAAATCTCAAATTGACTTTATCTTTCTCATCCGCGCCTACTTCCAAAAACGAATTCCAATCTACTAAAAAGTAGAGACCCGTCTTCGGCCTCGTAGGTAACATGGGGTCTGGCTCGGGTGTGCTACCGCCGAAAGATTCCTCGAGATCGTCAATATTTGGTTTTATGTTCTTCGCTGAATCCTCGGTGTTGTTAATATAGTCATTCACATTGAAAGTATCAAAAAAGTTTGGCTTCTCCGTCGAACCGGAACTTAATGGAGCTGCTTTTGTGCTGCTGGCAGTACCGTTGTTCAGGTATTTAGTAATATCAAAAGAATCAAAGAAATTAGGCTTTTCTGTTTTTCCGTCAGTCATTGACGATGAAGATGACTGGTCGCCTTTTGCCGTTGTTGATTCATCATCGCTGGCAGAAGATTCTGAGAAATCCAAAAGTGCTCCAGATGAATCTGCAATTAATATGTTTTTTAAGCAATCGTTACATTAAAATTCCCGTTAATCGGAAGGCTAAAAAATATCAAACTCGCAAATTCAATTAAAATGTGATAAATGTTAATATTATTAAAAAAATTGTTAATAGAACGATTTTCTACTGTAAAATATTTTACATGTTAAAGATCTATACAAATAAGATGAAGGAACAAAAAAAACTATGCCAAATTATTCATCTGTCGATATCATTTTTTGTACAATGTCAACTATTAATATATATATTTACAAAATTTTCAACGTTAAAATATCCAAAAAAATAGATAATTTATTCTAAATAGAAATTCATTGTTTAGAATCGCGTTACAGGATAATTAGTGTCCTTTTCGCATTGAAGAATTCATTTACTGTTAAGATAATTTTCTATAAATAACCTTATTTTTATTTTTTAATTATGGAACTAAATTTTAAACATTTGGTATCTACATTCTACATCAAAAACTAATCTTTTGAACTCTTGCTAAATTTTTTACCGGGCTTTAATTAAATTCATTTTTTAATTTTATTAAATTGTTTTCAAGCCAAAGTTTAAAATATTCCATTGTTACATATTCTACCATAAAGGAAGCTCTATAAATGTTACTGAAATTTTTCCAAATATCTATCTCAAACAAAAATAAACCGTGAAGCATAAATGTAATCTTGAAAATTAGCAGAAATTCATTTTTTTATTCTAACCTTTTATTACTTATTTCAGTTTGATATAAGTTTCCAATACAGATCATAATTAAGCTTCGCATAGATTTCTCCGTAGAAGTAAATAAACGATAGAATAACTATTTTTCTCAGATACGCAATGGAATATTAGCTTTTAAAAAAGATAATAAAATTCGCGTTTTTATAATTAAAAACAAAATTATGCTGATAGAGTCAAATGAGTCTCAAATATCTTTTTTATCAAATAGAACGAGCGATTAAAATTTTGTTACCCTACATAGAGAACTTGAAATCCCATATCTAAAAATACGTTAAACGGAAAATCAGATAATTAGTGTAAAAATATATCTTGAATTGAAAAGTAATTAGAAAATGCATAGAATTGATTTATAAATGCTCGAACGACTACATATGAAAGTCTTTTTTCTACGCTCAATTGAATAGCTTTGTTCGATGCAACTAGTAATCAGTTCATTCCAGGCACACAACGAGCCAATCACGCAAATTTCGCTTCGCGTGTGCTCTGGCGTGAAAACGCTCTAACGTGATTGTCAAGGCACTAGTTGAAAGGCGAAGGGTGAAAGTTTAATGGGGATGTATCGAGTCTGGATCGTCCGCTCGTGCTATCGATTTCTCTTTTCAGTCTCGAGCAAAAATAATTTATATAAATTATTCAAGTACAGATTAACGCGAATTTTCTATTTCCTTCTCGATACTAGTTAAAAAATAATGGTACTTTAAAGCTGTTAATAGCTTGAAATTCAGTAATTCAATAATTTTCTTGTCTTTTTAAAAAGATTTTAAACGATATTTTAATGAGGAGCTATAATTTGTTGTCGATCAAGAAATTTCATGAATTTTCAATATACAATTCGTCCAAAAAAATTAATATTCTATAAGGACTTACAATTATAAGTACGAGATTGTGAAAGCAAACTTGTCAAAACCAATAACTAATAACTCGTTCACAGCACCGTTCGGTTTTTTAATCGTAGCAATAGTTAATACCTTCTAAAGTAAATGATTCTACTCTATGAAAGTGTTAATTTTTAGAACTTATTGAAGCATACGTGATTTTGATTAGTCATTAACTTATGAATATTTTGTTAAAACACTTACATGCACAATGGAGAGCGAAGTGGAAGCATTGATTTATTGTAGTAGGATTGTTAACGTGTTATTCGTGAAAGTAAAGAAAGTATGTAAATGAGTTCCACAGCCTTCTTAGTTAGCAAGCTATTGTTAGTCATAACTATAATAATTATAGTTATTGTAGTTAATGGTAGCAGGTCTATCATTGTATGCAGCCGAGCTCAGCAAGCTTTTGATACTCCTCAGACCGTAAATGATGTGACGAATGACAATTTGCGATAGTCCGACAAAAGATAACATAAGCCTCTTCATACCAGTTGTAACGACCGAAGACAACGATATATCATCTGATTTTTCTGTCACTTCTGCAGTATTATCACGCATAGTACTTGTCTGCTCCTGCTGTCTCTTGACTTCGTTTTTTAAACTATTTCGGTAATTGCTTAAAATTTCTTCTAATTTTAGTGGATCCGGACCGTTGGCAAGAGTTTTTGTGCTCTGTAGCAAATCATGCGCTACCCTTTGTACATCTTGCACTCCAGCTTTGCCCTCTTGAACCATTTTAACCGTGTGAAGAAGATTCTTAATTTTATTATTTTGTTCCTCGTTATTCATATCGGTTTCTTGAGGTTTGAAGATATGTTCGATTGGAGCTGTCATTTTCTCCTCGAGTTTTGGAACTTGCGTTTGAACTTCGAACCTCTTTGACCTCTCTGTTTCTGGTTTTGGAGTTTTCCTAATAAGCCCGATGTTTTCTAACATTTTTTTCATATTTTCAGGAACCATGTCTATTAAGGAAGGCCTTTTAGTAATCTGCTTTGACTGAATGGCTTTTTGATTGCGGCTATCATCAAGTCCTAATCCAAATCTAGCAAGGAAATTACGAAAATCTAGATCCTTCACAGGAGTAGTCGGCAGAGGCTTAAAGTGTGTATAAGAGTTTGTGCTTGGAGGTCGTGTTGGCCTAGGAGTTGTAATAGTGGTACTTGTCATCACTACTTGCGGTTGTCTATTTGATTGTAATCCAAATTGCTGAAAAAGTAATTGAATATCCGGTGATAAATTCTTCACTCCTGCTTTGACATCCGATGGTGCTGTGAACGAGTTGTCAGTTGTTGGTTTCGGCATGTTTACTTTTACAGTCTCGTACTTTAAAGGTTGATTATCACTATCTAAATGTGTATCGAATTGATCGCTAAAATTATCTTTATGGTTATTAATTTTAGCATCGTTCTGTGGATATGTCAACTTCATTGGTTGCAAGCCAATCGACTTCAATAATTGCATGACCTCTGCTCTCATTGTTGTTGGTTCAACTGTTATCAATTTGAAAACATCCGGAACTGGTTCAACATTATCGTTCACTAATTTTTTATTTGTCGAAGCGCTTGGCGTTACGAATATTGAAATCGGACGATTTGTTGTAGCTGTTGGAGCTGCAGTTACCCTGGGAAAAGTTGCTACTGATATGACCTCAGAATTGGGCTCATCAGCTTGTTCTACATTTTCGATTGTTGGAACAAAATATCCGTTCATAGCTGACATCGGCTTCCATGGTGAATCATCTGGTATGTCAGTTGTTGTCGTCGGCGGAGTTGTCGTTCGCGTTATTGTTATTTTTGGTGTCGTTCGTGTTATCATCGTCGTTGACGTCGTTCTCGATTTCGGTGGAGCATTGTAACGCCATTGATTTGACAATAAAATATTGTTAGCTGGTTTTTTCGTTGTTGTTGTTTGCGACACATACTCTGTAGTTGTCGTTAGTTTAGGTGTTATACTTGTAATAATTTCAAGCTTCGGTGGTTTTTGCGTGCTCGTTCTATAACGCGAGAAAGTTCCTTTATAAACGGGTCGTTTAGTAGCAACAGATGTATGCGACGCTTCAGCTCTCTGGTCCATACCATCGAAGTTAAATGTAAATTTTTGAGGTGACGATTCAGACTTCGTTCTTTGGGGTACCTCCGTAGTAACTGACGTTGGCCTAAAACGCTGATTATTAATATTTTCTGTAGTTGTTGTTTCCTTGACATGATCAAATCTCATATGAGCACTGATCAGCTGATGTTTATTTTCAATAAGGTTCTCTGATTGCTGAGTATTATTTTTAGCAAAGAAATCGTAAGCCGTTTGAATTTGAGAATCTTTTCTCGTTTCATCTTCTACCATCTTAGTCAACGGAGGCTTCGTAAACAATTCTTTCAGATTTTCTCCAGAATCTTCAGGTTTGTATGGTAAAACTACAATCAGGGCACGCTGATAATCTTCTCTTGTTTTTTGTATAGCGTTCAGAGCTTCATGTTCGGCAGAAATCATGTCGTTGGTCGTTATGTTGTATAAAATGTTGACAATATCGTTGCGACTCAGATTTGGCAAACTGGGATTTTCCCTTACCATCTTCTCCACTTCCTCTATCGTCCGGTTGATCGAACTCTCGATCTCGAATCGCGATGGCATGACTTTCTCCATCTCCGTTCCACTGCCAAGGCCTATAAAGGCTAATAGGCAGATGCAGGTAAACTGAAAATAATCGATATAATTACATTACAACTAAGTTCTTTGATGAATTGACTTAAAATGACTAAACAGTTTGTAGATTTATCTAAAATACGCAAACTACGTATACATGAAGTCATTTAATTTTTTAATAAATGGGACTGGGTATGCGTTCTCGAAACGAATGTAACGGTTTGTTCGAGACTTGCTTTGGTAGATTTTCATATGTAAATTAACAAGTGACCAATAAATAAACGCTAAAATCTACGCATAGCATCATTTTGAAAATGCGTCTCTCTTACACACACTCTTTCGAGAATGTCTGAGGTCACTCGTATAATTAGCGTACACCAACAAGGCGTCGCGCATGACCTACATGGAATCGAAAGTTGAAGGAACTCGCCAAAAACCAATGTGTTTCGTTTCACGATAGATCACACGCATAAATACACGCGATGTCACTATATTGCAAAAAAAACTTGTCTCCATTGCTCAACAAGACCTGCTGCACGCGCTATTCATTTTTTTCATATTCCCATTACTAAACACTCAATATTTATGAGCACGTTCAAAAAAATAACCACGTGCGTTTAGAATTTCATCTCCACTTGAAAATCATGAAATCCTCTTTGTTGCGCGCGCATATTAATACAAATCTCAAACTTATGCTAGGAAAATTTAAATTTTAGTTCGTAGATATACAACACTTAGAATTATAGTAAAAGTAGAACAGAACGCGCGTATTTAATTTTCAATTCATCCAAAATTGACATTTTCATTAAATAATTTGTATCAACTCCATTCGTTTTATCCATCAATCAAATTTCTAAAAAAAAATCCCCGTGAGCAATACGACTGTTGAGTAACTTTTCATCTTTCTTCGAGAAGTAAAAAATGCTCAAGTATCGTCGAAGACAACCTATTACGACATACAGAAACACGGTGTAAATTATTGTAAGCTCGAGTGCGACATCGCGTGGGGATATGAGTTAATTCCTTATTTTTTTATTATTCTCTCGCGTGCAAACGCGAACGCGACCATACGTTGAGATCCTTGACCGCTCGTGCGAGCGATCAAGAAAGTCCCGTCGACCAATGGGACGACACTAATCGCTGCGTGCGCGTGTACCATTCCGTTCGTCCCAAGACTTGTTTTAGCTTTTCTCCAGAAATTTTTGTTTCGCTTATTTACCGCGGTATAAGTAATTATTATTCAATGTAACATGACACTTCCACCGGATTTTCCTTGTAGGGCTTTTTAATGACATAGCTTGGCGTAACATTTGTTTTATTCATTATTGCAAAGATGTTAGCGATTCTGATGTAATCCCTTGATATTTCTGTCGGATATTCTTTATATTTATTAAAACTGTTTTAATAATGCTCTCTCACTTTTGATTATTCTTTATTTTGCTGTCGAGCAAACTGGTTATTGAAACTAGCTAAAGCTAATGTAATATGTCGACTAGTTCAAGTAGTGCAACGAAAGTTTGAAATTATGACTGAAAGTTATGCTAGAAGCGCAATAAACTAATATACGATGTGCAAGTTCTATGCTCTTTGAATTTACGTGCATCGAAGCGAAACTTTAATTTTCAAACGTTTATAATGAGCAGCTGTTTGTGAAACTAACCTCGGCATATGTAACTATGCGATTGTACAGAGAACGAAAGTACACTTTCGACTTCAATGTGACGCATTGAACTCTGTGGCGGTTTAAAAATATGTGATTCACAACAACTGGTCTATGAAAGAAGAATGACAATCACATTTCAATATTTAATAGACAATATAGAAAATTCGAACTGAATGAAATAATAACCGATACGTCAACATTCTTTCAAATGTTCTTTCGAAATCATGTGCACAATGAAAAATAGGTAGTTATTGTATGTACAAAGTTAGAAAAAGATAAACTTTATGATGATTGATTTTAGTGAAAGTACATTAGATCACTTTACGGCATCAAATTTCAAAGAAAAAGTATATTGTTATTTTTTACTTTAAAATATAGAGATTTTCTCTGACTATATGGTTGCAATAAAAAATCTATGGTTGAAAAGTATTTGAAATAAACTTCAATAATGTGCTTGGAAGACAAAATTGTAGGTTGCTTATTTGACAGCTTAATAAATCATATATTTATTTAATTAATAGAAATATCTAGTGTACCTTTGTAGCGTTCAAAGTGAATGTAGTTCCTGAAGTAAAAATAACAAATTTTTTTCAAAATGAAATAAATTTCTTTAATCGCGGTTTATTCGTTTAATGTAAATAGTGAGACAATCCATTGTTTTACAAAAATTATACCTCATTTTTATTTATACAATTGATTTAGAAGAATAACGTCAGAAAATAATTGATAACTTGATAATCACTGCTTCTTTTAACAATAATTACGATTGGGATAACAAGCATGCCGCATACAAACAACTCATTTCGCAAGCACGTAATTACAACCTCAGTCCGTCAATGGCGGGAAATTCAAATCACTGATGCACGATTTTCTCATAAAACTAAACTCCTTCGCGGATAGTGTAACTGCTAATTAACACACCGCATAAAACCGACAAATAAAATTTTCGCAACGAAGAAGTGACCTTTCGGTTTCAACACGCGACGGTGCACACTCGCACGTAACTTCCGTAATACCACTCACCATCGCGCCAAGTGTTTAGCGGAGGACCACTCGATGACTGACTGTCCGCAGTGCGCGCGCGTTCAACTGGGCCTACTTTCCAACTCTCTCGGCGTCTCCTTTAAATTGCTTGTCCCACCACATCCTCATCGTCGTCATCGGCGCGACTCTCCATGTGCTCCAACATATACAGACGTACGACTGCTATGTGGGCAACTCTACACATGCACTGCACCTCACTTATGTACTATTTCCACACAATTACAAGTAGATTTACTTTTTGTGGCTGATGTGTGAGTAAAAATAATTTACAGGGGGAGTTGCGTAATTTACAATTATGTACGTAAGATATTCTTTAAGCTCACTGCTAATTTTAATATAGATTTTTTTTTATTTATTGTAAGAACAAATAGTAAAGTATACATGTTTTGAAGGTGTTGGTGAAGAAACGCTACTTATCTTTACTAATCGATAGTTTTGAGTAATCTCAAGATGTTTTTGATTCCGTTTTCATATACCGCAAGCGATGCTTTGATCTACAGCGTTCACTAAGAACATCATTGTTTTGACCGATAAAAACACTTTTAAAGTGCTTTTATGATCGCAATAAAAAATTGTATTGTATTAAAAATGTTAATTGTAAAATTCGCGAGACCAAATAAAAGAATCGCAATAAACTTGAGCAGTTTTGAAATCAAAACTGTTATAATGTGGTGTACCGCACACGGAATAACAGAAAATTCAACAGGCTAATTATTTTAATTAGCTCATTAGATCTCTGGGTTTTAACTGTTCAACATTTATATAGCAATTTTGAACGTTCTAGAAAGATAGAGAAAAACATGGTGTACCGGAAATTCCAAGTATAAGAAAGTAGGTTGTTAACGTCAAAAAATTTAGGTTTCTGCTTTGCTGCACATAGCTGCAACTTCCATTTTTCACCTCATTTATCTTTTGTGATAGTAAATAAATGATTTACTTGCAATTGCTTTCTCAATTGTTCTCATCTTCCAGTGACTCATTATTTGAAAAAGATTTTTGTTTATAATAATAAACGAAAGTATTTTATGATGATTCTATGACAATACCCACAATCATCGGCCAACTATACGACAAAGCTTCCAGCTAATACCAACAGTTTCAACGACAACAATCTCGATACATCGTCAAAAAGTTAAATTTATAGAATTTAATAGTGAAAGAGGCGTCTTCGGCAGTCCGGTGAATTAATAGCAAGTAAAGATTGCACGTGAAGATGCCTTTCCTGCAAGGAAAATCTAGATAAGTCTCCAAACGGCAGTTAACCATTATATCAGCATAGATGGGAAAACACGGAGATGCACTTTCGATTCACCTATCGTAACTCGTCGCTTAGCTCCTGTCTCCCCCTGTTTGAAGTTCAAGGAAAACGAAAGTTTTGCGCGAGACGGGAATTAGGTCAATCTGCGCGCACGGCGACCTTCGATTTCGAGAGAATCCTCTCTCGCTTCGCGAGGATTTATCGATACCCCAAGTGCTTTTTCATTCCGGCGGCGATGTTTCGCTGCTGTTGCTGCGTTACTTACACGCGAACTCCGATGTATATGGTCGCAAGCGAGAGTGAATCCCTTTCGTTGCATTAAAATGGATAGTTGCGAAGGTTTTTTGTACGCTTGACGTACCGTTTCTCGATAAGCTTACAGAATGTGAAAGCTTGTGAAAATATATTGTAATGACTGCATATACTTTATTTTTGCTTATACAGCGAATAAGTGAATGAACTTTTAAGAAAAGTGAAATTCATCACAAAACGATAGTTTACAAGCCGCTCTGAATACAGAAAAAAAGGGCAGGATTTATTTAGACGTGAATATATTAACATGATCAATAAATTAGTTTCTACGTCGACTGACAGATGACATTCACTTTAATCTGGATATATGAGTAATTTTTTCTCGCTGTGTTAAATATTTGCTATGTATTGTTATCAATTTATATAAAATACATATAAATCTTTTCTATTCAATAGATACTGTAAATCGAAATTCATAACTAGAGCTAATCGAGTAGATTTATATTGTAACATAAAAGGTGAAATGAAATTTTTACTGTAAATCTTCCTATTCCTAGAGAAGAAGATAAAACCGTCCAACTGAAAATAGGCAATAACGTGACGCATCCTTAATTCTAGTATCTAACGGGATCGGGTAGACGTCACAATGTTTGCTATGCAACAGTTAGTTTTGGAGATATGCCAGAGTTGGAATACGAACAGTAGTCAAGAATGGATCTTCCGTGATTGGCATGCAAATAATAGATTATCTGCTGCATCAGAAACAATAAAGCACATTTGGTCTCATTACTAGCCATATATATTAGGGGGCACAATTTATGTGCCAGTCAATTGCACCATTTTAATGGGATATTGTTCGCGCTGAAAGAGAAACTTGTAACGCTTAGGAAAAATTATTGGTACGAAGTCTAAAAGGAACGCGCTTCTTCGATTTTCTTTAATAGATTTATCTGCTTCTGTAATTAGCTCGAAAAGCGGTTGTTCTCTGAATGGATCCGTTACCACCGCAGCAGAGAAAAAAATTACGAGACTATATGAAGTGGCAAGTACTTTTCAAAGAAGCAAAATTTCACTCGTATGGATGTTCTTATATCAAGAGAACGAAGCTTCGGGAAAAATCGAAAAGTTTGCTTGTCGTATAGAAAGTGTTCGATGAAAAACTGCGAGCTCGATCCACGAAGGAAATCTGAGTTCACATATATCCCAGATGAAAGTGATGAACTTGATTTTACGATGCAGATATACGAGGACCGTCAATATTTCGTTTCTTTTAATTTATCAACTACGTGATTTTGTTTTCATCCCTGCATTTAATTTCATGAAATGTTGCTGCATAGTAAATTTTATGGTTTATAATTATAGGCAATGTAAGGGATATTGCTCAAATTCTTATTCCATATTTATAATAATTTTATCTTTTCAATATTACGAATAATGTATTTATACTTTACTATACAACGTATAGTAGTGTAATTATACAATCATAATATTTTACAATAACATATTTGGATATAAATTTACAAAATTCCAAAATATTTATGATTAATGTATTTTTACCAGTTTGAAGTTTATCATATTTATTCGTATCGAACCTCGATGTACTAGCATTAATGATATAATTCTAATTATTTATCTAATTTGGATTGTAATTTGTTCTACAAATATAAAATTCTAAATTATTCATTTTACATAAAACTCATCGCCATTCAGATGTAGATTGCATTGTTGCACCGTATTTAATAAAATATTCATCATTAAAAAATACTTTAAAAATCTGTATCAAAATAGTTATTCTTTTATCATTACTGTAAAATTTTTTATGCAGTTCCTAACAACAGACCATATTATAATATCAATTTAGGTTATAATATAATACATGAGTTGTAATTATGATACTATCACAGTATACTCGTATAAATTTATGAACTATCAATAACCAAGAGGAGTTTTTTGAAGAACTCCTTTGGCATCGCAAACATTTTTTGATATTTTACTCAATTTAGAGAAGATTTCTAAGGATTTAGCATCTTTAACTGTTTTCAAATTAAAAGCCACTCTACTGGAAGCCTGTAAGTGAAGAAGTATTTTGTTATAACTCGTATTTAATGTATGATGTTATATCCTTCGCTATAACTATTTTTACCTCGCTACACCAGGTTTGAGCCATCAAAATTTCATGCTCAGACGATGGATTATTTTTTTTAGCAGAGAAACTTGCCCGACTCAAAACAACAGCCATTGTATATGTATCGATAGCTGCTTGCGCAATCCTATTTAATACAAACTGTTCATCAACTATTTTCCTACCATACTTGACTAAGGCGTATTCAATTGTCGATCCAAACATTTCAATGCTCTGTTGGAGAAATACGAAAGACGTTGCATTAAGTTCAACGACTACTATAAATGAATGACAATTAAGAACTTACTTTGGCACACAAGTTCGCAGATGCTGCAAGATTTGGATGAACGAACTGAGCCATGTTTAATGAATTCATACCTATAGCTTTGTAAGCTCTTTTTGAAACTTCTTCAGCAATCAATCCCAAATTGGCAGTAGGATTTTTGAATGCATCTTGTAATTCTTTTAAATGACTTCCAGCATACTGGATTCCCGTCAAAGCAACAAACAGACGTAAAATATCATTTGTTCCTTCAAAAATCCTGAATATTCTAAGATCACGTAACACTTTCTCAAGTCCTGTTCCTTTCATGTATCCCATTCCTCCGAGAATTTGAATAGCTTCGTCGCAAACAAACCAAGCTGATTCAGAAGCAAAAATCTACATAGTTGAAATTAAGTATTATTAGTCCGCCTACCACTACATGATTTTCTCATAATTCATACGGATTACCTTTGAAATAGCTGCTTCCAAATGATAATCTTGACTACCTAAATCCATATTACCTGAGACCATGTAAGCTATGGACTGCGAAACGTATTGTAAAAGAGACATCCGAGCTAACTTTTCTTGAATAGTTCCATAGCTGTCGATTGTGCGACCAAATTGTACTCGTTGCTTAGCATGTTCCGTAGCTTTCTGAATGCAATATTGCATAGTTCCAGAAAGACATGCTGACATTCCAAATCTTCCGTTGTTCAAAATTTGCATAGCTACCTAATGGAAAATACTTTATAAATTTGAATTCATAACGATAAAAAGATAATTCTATGTATTAATTACTTTGAATCCTTGTCCTTCTTCTCCCAGTAAATTCTCGGCAGGAACTTTGACATTTTCATAAAAAACTTCTGTGGTGTTGCTACATTTAATTCCCATTTTATTTTCTGGTTTTCCACTAGTAACACCACCAAAAGATCTTTCTACAATGAATGCTGTCACTTTATCTTTGGTTTCCCCAGTGATAGGATCTGTAACTGGTAATTTTGCAAAAACCGTCATAATATCAGCCAATCCTCCATTTGAAATCCATATTTTATTTCCATTAAGAATATAATGTGATCCATCTGCCGATTTTTGTGCTTTTGTACGCACTGCACCTGCGTCAGATCCACAGCTTGGTTCCGTAAGACAGAAGGCAGCGAATTCGCCATTACAAACTCTTGGCAGATATTTTTCCTTCTGTTCTTTAGTACCAAATAAAAGTATACCCTAAAAATCAGCGTTTTTGTAGAAACCAATAAATTGAATTTGTATCTGATGAAATTATTAACTGACTTTGAAACCTATACTTTGATGAGCTCCTAAAGTTATACTGACACCTAAATCATTGTGACCAACAATTTCCACTAATCTTGCATATTGAGTATTATTGAGACCAAGACCACCATGTGTTTGCGAAACTTGAAGGGCAAAAGCCCCTAGTTCCCAAAGAGCTTTTTGAGTTTTTTCATCAATTGAAGAAGTTTCATCGTTTTTGAATGGGTCATTTACTTCCTAAAATCAATTTAAAGTAACTGCCTTAAAAATACGGTTTCTATAAATTATTATATATTGCATCAAAATTTCTTACATTAAAAAATGTTTCTACTGGATCGATCATCATTTTTACAGTTTCTTGCTGCTCTTCGGATAAACATTCAGGATACGGAAATATTTGATTAGCTTGCAGCTCACCCCGAAAGATGTTCATTGTAAATGACTGAGATTTTAAATTCGATGATTTGTCAGCTTTAGATTTTGGCACTGCTGCTGATTTTGCTACTGCTTGCGTTGCAAGACATCTGAAATAAATTGGCAAAGAACGCAAAATAATAACCTTGCGGACTTTCAAAGTTTAATTAATTCATAGTATTTTTGACACAAGAAAAAAGTTAAATATTATTGTTTTCAACAATTGGCACAGTACTAAACAAACTGTACATAGTTACGAAATATTTAATTTTGTTATACGAGTTTATATTCATTTTAGGCATTTTATAGATTTTGGAAGTATAACTTCCTTTTCGATAATTGCATATGTAGTACAAAATTTATAAATAAGTTTGCAATAATCTATAAATAAAATCTTTTTACCGACGAACAGATTGTATTGTTTCCATCGATATATTTTTTATTATTTTATCATCGATTTTAAAAGAAGGTTTATTTTTTTAAGTCGTTATTTCTTACTTTTTAATTTTTGAAGTCGGACTTTTATTATAATAAAATATTTATTTACTACTTATTAGTTACCTAACTTCCGACATCATTTGATAAATATTCAATACATGCATCAAGACATATTCTTATCGACTTTTTTTGTTGCTGTCTTAACAGCACTGGCTTATTAACATTAATATAGGCAGTTTTTGAAATTTTATTAAGCGTTCCTTTTCGGAGCTAATCCATTTTATTTTCTTTGAAACTAATTTTTCTGTTTCTTTCCCCAAGCCGTTACTCTGCGCGACAAGACCGCCAAATAAGATAATGCTGTTCAGAAATGTTTCTAATCACTAGCCAAATGTGCTTTCTCATCCATTCTTTCTCTCTGTCTCTCTTTTTCTGTTTCGCCCACTCTTTCAAATGCAAGATAGCGTTGCATCACAATGTTCACAAAGTCCCCTCTATCCAGTTTCATTTCATCTTTAATTGGACATGGTTCATTCTTATTTTATTATGACAATTGCTACGTCAGTGTAACGACTATTATAAAAAATGAAAATGTGATAGAAGTTTTTATGAACAATGATCGGTACAAATTAGAGCGACAAACGCTTACCTTGTATTTAAATCAATCAGTTTGTTAAGACTTTTCGAATCCAAAGTGACCTTTTTAAATAGTCGAAACATCTTGATCAGAATCCGTTTGAAAAGATTCGATGCGATAGCAAGTTGACGATAACAGTTTGTGCGCTGTACTATTGAAATGGTTTATATTAACGTAAAAACATCAGTATTTTCATAACGTCTCGATGTGCATGTTTAGGAATGACTGAACGTAAAGTGTCAAAGTCCAAGGTAGCCAAGCTTGTGAGCAAGTTTGTCGCCATCTACCGAGGAAAGATTTCTAAATTTTCTCAGACTAAAATGACCGAATGATTGCTAGGGATTACATGATAAACGCGTAGATAAAATATATAAATCTATAATAGACTATTAATATGTACTGTTTACTGGCTGAATAGACGATCACTTGATTCATTAATATAGTTGGACATTTTTCTTCGATTTTCAGTAATTTTATAGTTATGATAAACTGTAATGATTCCGCTAATCAACTTTAGAGAAACTCGGTTTTCTTAGCTAGCGACAATATATGTGGTATAAAATCGCCACGTTATCGATCGAGACAGATATTGTTCGGCGATCGCACGTTATCTCGGCGTTCAGTTATTGATCGCAACGCCATCAATCCGTCATTGATCGTAGTTCTAAAAGAAGCTTTTAATTTTAGAAGATCATAAACATTCATTTCTAAAAATCATCCATATTCCAGTATTAAAAGATCCTATTCAATATTTCTTATCTATGTTTAGTTTGAATTTCCATATAAACCTCGGATTTAAATCTAATCTTTGAATGAAAAATAAATAAATTGAAGATCGACACGCGCGAGAAGCCTTGCGATGCGCTTCGTCGTTGTAAAATTGCGCAAAAGAGGTTCAGATCAAATCTATAGCTGGTATGACGATAGTGATCGCGATATTGACCCCAGCACTGACCGATGTCAATGTATAATATTGAATAACACTTACAAATCGTATAAGAAAAAATTAGAAAAAATAGGGAGAATCTTATGATATAAGACAAAAAGTAACTTATATCTAAAAAAAAATTTATTTTATGCATTGTTGAGATAACTACAAAGTATTGTCGTATGAGTATTACAATGGAATGCTTGACATTGTTTTATAATAAATAGAGAAATTGGTTTTCCAAAACATTATCTTTAGATGGTATACGCAATATATATATATATATATATCTCGGTAGCAACGGTCGGTAAATGATCAATAGCATCCACCGGTAAAATATGACTAGAATTTACCAACGACCAAAACTTGAAAAGACCGCAATCTTGTCAGCTCACGCATGTTCAAAATATAACTATTAGGATGGCTCATAAAACAGACTTTCTACTTTATAGAGGACTTATTTAAAAATTCCGATTACCTTTTCTTCAAGTTCAACTCCGATCTATATGACATGCACATGTTCTACTTTTGCTTAATTCAAATAGCTTCTTTGTAATTAAACTTGGAAGCTCAATTTTCCAAGAAGATGTTTTGGAATAAAAATCAATTATATTCGAAAGAGAAAATCAGCCGGCTGTACTTCGATCAAAAACACTAGAAAGCAGACAAAACCGATCATTCAAAAAAAAAAAAAAAAAAAGAAAGGAAAGCCATGGCCAATTTGAGGGATCACCCAGTTATCAATGGAAGCAGAGAAAGCAACATTTAAGCGTATAACATAGAGAATCGCAATCGGCGTTGTTCTGCCAAGGCAAGCGAGATATGAGTTGCGCGGAAAGTAAAAGTGCGGAGTCCGGGCGGCTCTCACTTGGGGGGACCGCGGCCACGGGAAAAACCTCGCGCGCGCTTTCATACGGCTCGTGCGCCTCGTCACTTTCGGTTCCTACGCAAGCCTACTTCTGGCGCGATGCCGTAAACACACACGTGATAGTTTTATTTCAACTCGCCGTTGGTGTACGTTTCTTGTAGTGTCTTTTAAGTTAACTATTAAGCTACTTTCAGCCATGGAGACAGACGTGGTGAACTCGCTGGGTACCTTCAGCGATAGCGAGTACTACATTGTTCCAAATTTTAGTTGCAATAATTTCTATCTACCTAGTTCCATCCAACTGTTTGAAAGTGAGTACTTTTTTTTCAAGGACGCAATCGTTGATTATGTTCATTTCATTGTTAACTGAAGTGCTGTACATCATACTGACAGCAGCGATGTTGATGGGTAAACATGACATACGAGAAAAAGCACGTGGTCGTCGTAAATATCAAAATATCAAAGGTACTTAACGTAATGGTGATTGATTCGGCTTCCGCCCATACGGAGTTTAAATTATTTTATCATTAATTCGATTATTAAAGAAAGTAAGGACACTGTTATTGTTACTATTAATCTAAGAACTACGTTCGCTTTTGAACGTTACGGATGTGCACATGAGAGACCCAGGCTCTTAAACCGTGTAAATGGTAACGAATCTTATTGAATATTCAAAAATTCCCCAATTCGCATATTACGAATTTCTAACGGTAATCACTTAATTTTATTCCCTTCGTGTGCGTATGTGTGTGACACAATTCTGTGTGTCGGTGAATATTGTCAAAAAAGTAACATGTGTTTCATTATATATAACATTATATAAAGTAAATATATAATGTGGGTTATATATTTCTTAACTTTTATTTATAACCGCGATTTGATTATTTCTTTTCCCGTTTTGCGCGGTTTAACAAAGACAAGTTTTTTTCTTTTTTCTTATAGCATGATGACGCGAAATTTATGCACATATACAAGTACCATCTTATATGCAATATCCAACCAATATGGGATATTTTGAAGTATTTTATAAGCTCGTACATGCTAATCACACAAATGACAGTAGTATCCAGTTATTGCATTGGTATCTTAAAATACGACGTGATTAAGAATTCATAGTAAAACTTGTTTTTCTATATTTACCCGAACCTAGATTCCGAGGAGATCATTTCTGAGTATCGCTATCGAATAATCGACATCTCCGTTTCACAAATAAAATATCTAAGTAACAGCTCGAAAGACAATAAAGTTCACTAATAATCATATACACACACGTGCTAATTATAAGAATCGCGAAGAATCCACATTGTCAATGCCAGGTATAAAAAAGAGAGTAGCCGAAAAGAGAGGAAGGCCCGTAGTGCCTCCCCTCGCGTGCGACAAAAATGCCCATAAAAATAACAATCACGTAAGAGCGCTTATCAGAGACGTGATGCAACTAATAATCCCGGCGACAAGCAGCGACGGCAACAGCAGCGCAAGATGAAAAGGGCCGCGTGTTCTCTCCGCCTCGAAAAAAGAAAAACTCTGTAGCACCGCGTGCACGGTACACGGGCTCTCTTGTGCGCGCAGACTCCGAAATTCGCGTGTCCTCCTTTTGAAACCTGCGCGCGCGCGACGCACAGTGAAAGTCTCTACCGCGGCAGACTCTCTGATACCAACACGCGCGCGCGCGCGCACGCTATATAATGTAATATGCGCGAATGCATGTTTGCATTATACAAGCGCTCCTCTTTCCTTCTTTCGTTTTTCTCTGTCTCTTTTCCCTTGGCCTGCCGTGTATGTAACGCATTTGCCTCTCGAGCGCGCGCATGTGTAGCGTAACTCGCGTGTGCACCCAGATGGAGAGCCGCACTGAGCGGGAATTGCAAAATAAAGATTATCCGCAGGTTGCACATTGGCGCATAAGCATTGGAACATTTTTTTTTTTAGACTTACATTTCTACCGTACCCTACATATACAGCTAAGATATGTATACGAGTAGGTTAATGTCGTTATAAGATAGTCATTACTTTTAACTATATAAAAATATCGTATCTCTACAAAGAAGATTACGCTTTGAAATCAACTCTCGAAAGTGGAAGGCGCGATACCAAAGATCTTCATACGTGAGTCATTGATGGTTTTATGCAGTGTTCATGAATATAAAAAATTAGAGGTTGTCCTTGCTCCTTGAGAAACTCCTCTTAAAAGATACTTTTAACGATCGAGTGCCATAATTTGAACGTTGAATGTCAAAAACTCGTGAAAAGATCGGTAAGCTCGTGAAAGAAAAAGCAACTAGCTCTAGCATTTGAAATACTTTATGTCGTAAGGCTTAGCGTAACGCAACTCTCACTCCGTCAGGTGAATAAGTTTCGAGCTGTTTCCTGACTATACAAACTCTGTTTGTTTTGCTAATCTTCTTCGGTGGCGTACAGTTATAGTATGAATATTGCTTTAAGTTTCACATACTCCGTAAAATTGTTTTGGAAGAGGGATAATAATTCCTTCTTTAGTTATCTTTAGTTATTATGCGTCCGAGATACGTCACGACAATATCATTTACGAAATTTACGGAAATTAATTATAACGATCACTGATTCAAGTGTTCGAGGCTGGCCGTCAAGACCATTGTCAAAATCACGTGAAAAAGGAAATACCAAAAGTGATTTACTTTTTTTCCTCCTTGCGCCAGCATGTCGTCGATTTGAAGAGTCAGATAAGCAACTTTAATTTGAGTAATTAATTGCGTACTTTATGCTCGCTCATAATGTCAAGTTTAGGGTGTATGTGGAGAGGTGTGTCAGTTCTTATTTATTGGCTTTCAAATGAAACTTGATTTTTATCTTCGGTACATTAACGCGGAGTCTCATGGCGATTTTGTAAGAATAAATTTTCAATCCTTATACAAGCCGAACCAAACAGTAACAGTTTTTCTGATTCGTTAATCAAATATACACCTGCGAGACGTGCACGTAAAAGCCCATAACGTCCAATTATTCGCCGAAAGCTGACAGCCCCAAAAGTTTTTTGAAAAACTCTCAAATTCCTCGGCGGTCGTCATTTGAATACGAAAGCAGTAGCAAACTATAATGTTAATTGCTTAGCCCGAGGCCTCGCCATTACATTAATGCACGTATTCGAGTGCAAAGAAAAAGAAGAGGGGGTGAGGGGGTATCGGCGACAAGAGCAGTCGTTCATCGCAATAAATGATAAATATCAGCAGCAATAAAGAAATGGAGTGTGAATCTGGTATTGGCTACGTTGCAGGCTTGGGAAATTTCGGAGTTGGCCTCGTGACGGTGGCGTCGATGCTGTGCGCGGCGTGCGTTTATCTGGCGGTGGACGCCTGCAGCAACATCTGCTATCGGAAGGAGAGTCAGTCGGTCAAGATCAACGCCTGCGCCGTCTTATCCGTCTACCCGATCGCCAGCCTCTGTAGCCTCGCGGCTCTCGCGCTGCCAAGGTAATTACGCAAATTGACAGTGCACCGCGCTCTCGACAGTCTACGGAGAATCGGACCAAAAGCACGGAGGACCTTGTCCTTGTCAATTGTAGAGTGCGCGTTACGTCGAATTTTCGTGAAAAAAAAACATCTGCTGTACTTAACGGTACTCCTTCGTTTATTTATTATTATTTTTTAATTTACCCAAGAAACAGATATTAAACCTAACCATGAGGAACTACCGTTGTTCGTAAATCTCTCGACAGACTACTTACCATTGCACGGGAGACGTACGTATTATGCTTATAGGGTGTAATTTTCAAAGGCACTGTATTAGTTTAAATGAAACTGTTCATTTCGCAATGACGACTTTATGTATACGTTCTTTTTTTAATAGAGTTCAATTATAGTAATGAAGAGTCGTTCGATAACGGCTATTATAATCCATTTACACGGGGCGTGGATCGTTGGGATAAACTGTAAGAGTACATGTCGATTGATGAAAACAGTAATCTCTCTCGCCGATAGTATCAGGTTTCGAAAATCTACGATAATGAAATGCATTGGCTGGCTCTCAACCCTATTGACTTTTGGCTGAAAAAGCGACTGACGTACCAACATGGTGATTGAGATTCAAACGGTAAATCGTCGGGCGTACGAACAAGAAAAAAAAGACAGAAAGAAATCTCCGGAGGTGCATCTTGAAGTCGTTGGGAAAAGTGGACAACGCATTTGGCCGAACGAGCCTAATCAAGAAACACAAGGCAGAGGAAAGAAAACGAAGAAAGAGAGACAGAACAGAAAGGGAGCCGAACATGTCGTTTAGTGCATTAGCGTGCACACGCCCGAGTGTCAGTGGATAGATCGACGATTCGATAGCGAGACAGGTACAGCGGGAAAAATCCGAAATACTCGGACACACAACATTCGGGAAAAGGGAGAAGAGAAGGAGCAGCGAGCGCGGATGAGCCTTCCAAACAAGTAAAAAGCGAAACAGATAAATTGCCTCACAATGTGAAATGTAAACAGTTTATCTCTGCAGGACTCTGACGGCAAACCGAGAAATACGAAATGAAAACGAAGAAAAATCGAGTGTGAAAATAACACAATCTTTTTTTCGAAATTGATGAGCACAAGTACGGTACCTCCTAAAGATAAACCACGCTCGAGAAAAAAATGGGGAAAAAGAATCGCAGTCGATCCAATTAAAACTCACGATGGCCTTCGTCCGTCAAAATGTCGAAGAGCAAGCGAGAAAGAGAGGGAGAGAGCGGATGCGCGACGACGACGAAACTAATGATGCCGTATCAAGCTTAGAGTGGTGTTACCAGAGAGCGAAAGAAGAAGCTATCTCAACAGCGCTGGAGTCCACTATCGGTCGAAGGTCTGATTGCAGCTGGTGATACGCGAGGTGAAGCTGCAACGCGGATACGGACGCTGCAGAGGCTAATGAATAATGGAGTTTGGCTGTGCGCTTTGTCTCCTCGAAATTGACTATCCTCTCTCTCTCTCTCTCTCTGACGTCTCTTTCTCGACAGCTGCTTGTCTTTCAGCTGCGCTCTGCTGTCGATGCGATTTCTCCGTCGTCGTTGCGCACCCCCTGCCTCGTCTGCCTTTTTTACGAACGCACGCGTTTCGGATAGCCGGGATTGTTTCTGAATTTCTTTTGTCCAGTCGCGGCCGTCTCTGATTCTTTGATAATCATCTTAATGATGCTTTAATTGCCGCGTAGTTGAGTGTTACGGCCTAAGGGAATAACTCGCTAGTAGGCTTCAACTAAAAATCAGCTCGCGCAAAAAATGTATCAAGCATCTTTCGGCGATCATAAATACCTTCCCATCATAAAGTCCGGTATTAAAGCGCTCGACGTCGCGAGCATCGAGAACTTGTCGAGAATTGGAGCGTTAAAAAGAATCTTGAAGTCGAGCCGCGGTCCAGAGTCTAAAAGCAGCGTCCACTTATCATTACGGCTAATTTACTGCAAAGCTAGCCAACAAAGGCATTACACGCTACCGGGTAGTCGCAGATGCCATCTCATCTTTCCGAAAAACGCTGACTAGACTGTAGCCCGCGCGGCCGCAAAATGACACGCGAACTCGACATTAGCATGGAACGAAGCTCGAGGCCACGAGAGAATAAAAAATATACGTTACAGGGCGCAGCTGCTGTCGGAAGGTTTGACGCAGGTCTCGCTGACGATCTCGCTGTACCGGCTGTTCCAGTTGCTGCTGGAGCTGGGACTCCGAGGCGCGAGCAAGGCGCCGACGCTGGCGCTCAAAGTTGGCCCGTGCTGCTGTTGGCCGTGCCTGCCCATGCCAAGCCTCGAGATGACCGAAGCCAATTTGTCCTGGCTACGACTCACCGTCCTTCAATTACCTATAGTTCAGGTAAGTCTCCTCTATATTATACTCTTTCTTTCTTCTTATTCTTGCCCATGCCAAGCCTCTCTGCGCCCTACCGTTCGCCTCAAAAATTCAGGTCTCCACACGAGCCCCCGCACTAATGAGTCACCAACTTTCCTTCAAAATTGATGCTCCTCTCGTTGTACTAATGCCCGTGATTCGCAACTTTTTTTCTCGCGAATCGCCATCATTTTCAAAACGAATCCTTCGAATGTAGATTCGCGGAATAAACGTTAGAAACGAAATTTTTGTAAATTACGATCTTGTCAAGGGTAATGATTTATAGTATGTGACTTGTTTTAAAATCGATTTCGTAATTGACCAATTGACGGTTGCTATACTGCTGCTGCTGTTGCTGCTGCTACTGCTACTGATACGGAAGGAAGGTGCGCATTGAAATCGTACAAATATAAATTAACAAAAATAGTCGGTCGACTGCAGTTATTTTAATAGAGCCCAAGCCATTACTAACACTTTAGGCTCTTGATACTCGAGAAGGAGAGAGAGAGAGAAATAGAAATCTCGAGGACCTTGATTTTTCGACGCTCACTGCCCACTTGACGCGCCGAAACCACCCACCGTACAGACGGCGCGCACCACTTATACTCGTATAGTACAAGTTAACGAAGTATTTTCTTTTTCCTAAATCCTGTCTTTTTTGCATGGAGTGCGAAAGACACGTAAATGTAACTCTTTTTTTCATTTCGAGCAGACAAAAACGACGCTAATGTTTTTTCTCCAACAAAAACACGTGACTTCATTCTTACAATACAACCACAACAGATATGAGAAAACTATTCGTCTTCTTTTAGAGAGCAGAATGCTATTGGCTATAAGATTATAGCCCGCTGAGCTAAGCTGTGATAAATCAACTGCTTTGAAATGCGTTTGTCGAATTCGGAAATTGTTGTTTTCTTCGTGGAAAAGGAAAGTGTCGCATTCTGACGTATCGTATCATTAATATTATAAAATGTCAAGTTTAAAGTGGCAAAGATGTTAGGTTTTCGGGGGAACATGTCCACACACATTTCATTCATCATAATTTAAAGGACATTTACACAAACGTGAATAAAGAATTTTTTAATTGGCTGAGAGACTGAATCGATAAGGATAATTGATAGTCTTGCTTCGTGTTCTTCATTAACGACTGAGAGATTTTTCAAAGCAAGCGGAAGCCAACGAAAACTGAGATTTTTCATGAGAAAATCACAAACAACAGACCCTCCAGGAGAAAACTTAAGATTTACGGAAACTTTCCCCTAGTTTCTTCTAATCAACGACAGGAAGCTTTTCTTTTTTGTTTGAGCTTAAAAAAACAAGAAGCTACCCAACAATGAGCATGAAATCGCGCCTGCAATTACTTTCATCTTCTTCGAATGAGAAATAGATAGGGAAAAAAGCGAAGGAAAGCTATAAAGCGCGGAGGGAGCATCGGTTACGGGTGTTACGTACAGAATTTCCAGAAGCGGCTGTACACCACTGCTTGCGGTCAAAGATGAAAGCCTAACACGCAATCTATTGTTAAAAGAGTTCAAAGAGTTACGCTGCACAATTAGTCGAATGATTCGGCGAGAACGAGCCCGGAAAATTTTGCTCGTAATCGGTTTAACCGAAAACCTCCACGAGAAAACTAATGAAGGGCAACGTTATTTTCACAGGGACTGATCTACTGCATCCTACTGTTCATGTCGGCCGAGGCACCGATCTTCGCCACGAGCTACGGCCGTTTCTTTCAGCCGCTCGTCATAATTAGCATACTTCTTGGAATTTACGGGCTGACTGTCGTTACCAAGAGCCTGCAGGACATCGCGCCAGGTATGCACACCGCTCTACATATGCAAATGTTTTTTTGGGCATTCGGTTCTCTTGCTATTGCACACGAAAGAAAGAGGCGATCGATTTGAATAAGTATTTGCTACCGATTGTCAATAGACGCGATAATGTGTGCGCTCTTTTGGAAACTGACTTTAAGTGCGGTTGTGCTTCAGTATTTTATGCTTGAACTCACTGTTTTGCATTTCAAATAAATAATTTCTGGAGAATTCGATTATACACGAAAGAGCAGTTGAATATATTTCCTTTCTCGGATGCCGTAAGAGTCAGATTAACTAAAATGACACCGAGAGCTTAATTTATGTAAATTTATTTGTCTATTCGTCTGTTCGTAGACCAATTTTTCGTGTGATTATTAGACCAACTACTGACATAACTACCGTACTACAAAAGAATATCCTTATAAAAACAGAATAATTTTCAAACTGCAAAACAACAAATAATGATTTTGGAAAAAATCATTTAAAGTTGACATTAACCGACATACTTTAACATATATTTTGTTATTTATTTCATCATTTAACTCGAAAGAACATTGATCTGTTCCAAATCATTATTTGTGAATTTTTAGTTTTTAATGTAAAATAAAATTTGCTTGCCTTTTCGACGAGATGCTTTATAAGCTAGGTTTTTAAAAGAAATGGATTCAAACGTCCTATGGGAGAATATATCTTGAACATATTTCAAGTTGTAGATGATTCGAATTGATAGATTTACAGTCCGTTTGCTGTCCAATCTATCAGTCCAAATTACGTTAATAGACATATATTAACGTTATAAGCTACAGTATAGGACGTTTGCACTTCGAATCTTTAATAACTGTACTGTTGAATACAAAAAAAACACAGAACTTCGATCCTCTTTTTTAATATCGATAATATAATAGTAAAAAAAATGTTGATGAAAAGATTCACTGTAGCATCAAAAGTCAGAAATCATAAAAAGTGAATATAAGCAGCGATTGCCCAATTGAAACGATACGTATCAACAAATTCATTAGCTAAGTCTCACTGAATTATTGTGAAATCAAGATGGTATTTTTAGCATTCGTTACATTAGTGCAGTACGCGCTGCAACAGACGTAAATTACAAAAATCACAACGCGCTCGCGTGCCCTCACGCAATGATACGCTCACTGCTTCAAAAACCTTTCAAGTGTTTCGCGAGTAATGAGTTCTTTCATAAAAAAAAGCTGCCTTTCATAACAATCACGCGCTGGATCTCGCTCTCAAAATATCGGCTATTAGAATTGAAAAAAATCTTGAACGCCTAATTGTAATCATATAAAGATATTTGAAAAAATTTGAATAACATACGTGCTCCGTAATTTACAATGAATAATAGTACAGAATTTAATTTAACGGAAAAGAACTTGAATAACTCGCAATTGAAAATAATAATAAAAATTTTAATTATATAGTTACACTTCGAGTAGCATTTATTTTCGATGCTGTTTTAATGAAAGTCTCACGTGTCAGAGACGCACGAATGAAGATTTTATTTTCTGAGAAAAGAAAGCTGCGTTCGTGCTGGCCGCTACGTCACGAAGAATCGGACAACTCATTTCGAGACGATTTAATAACCCTTAAGCAGATGCGCGTAGTCTCATTCAATCACCGGCTCTGTTACGGGCACAAGAGCGAAAGAAATTGCCGCGAAACTGATAATTTCATTTTTGGCGCTACATGAAAATTAGCAAGGCCATCGACAAGACACTACTTTATTCTTGCCGAATGAATTAAAAGTAATGAAGCCCATCGCAATTTTTGCCGAACGCATGCGAAGCAACGGTTTTTCAATAAATATCGCATGCAAGACCACACGCGCCGCGAAAGTACGTTTTTTTATACGTGAAAAGCTGTTAATTGGCTGTACGTACAACTCTGACAACTTTTTTTTTTGCGCACGAAGAAACTCCTCTCTCTCTCTCTCTCTCTCTCTCTCTCTCTCTCTCTCTCTCTCTCTCTCTCTCTCTCTATCTATCTCAATTGTTTTGCAGAGACTAAACTTGCCCAGAGAACGATAGTCGCTCAAATGGTATTGTTATTCTCCAAGCTGCAGGGCTTCCTTATCAAGGGCCTCGTCGACACTGGCCTCTTCCCCTGCAATCCACCACTCACACCGCTTGTTTACGCAAACGGTAAGTGCACACAAGCAATTTAACTGCTATTAGCGCCGCCGTGCGATTTTTGAGGCTGCTGCTGCTTTTCTTCTTTTTTGGTAACTGCGCTTCCGAGGCGAAGGATTTTTTTTTTTTTGTTTGATGGTTTAAGGAGCAAGGGCAGAGTCTGTTCCAATTGCGGTTGGTTTTCTATTTGATTTTCATTTAGTAGCTAGACTCGAAAATGGGAAACGGATAATTAGAGAGTTTTATGTGGCGGTGGGAGCTCGTAAACTGATTTTTACTCCGGAATGTTATTTAAAAAAAGAATTATACTACACGCATGAAGTTGAATGTTAGCTAATTTTGAACGGCGTCTATCCATGATTGTTTTTTTCTGTCACTGCGTCAACGCTTCAACACCTGCTCGCACAATTCCCCCCTATGCATTCAAAGTGTAAAAGTGATACTTTCGAGAATCATGCTCTCTGATCCTAATCCCTCTTTCACCCATCCAATATAAATCTCACCCCTTTTATTTAAACTGCCCTTCATCTCGTCACATCTCTAAAAAGTGTCTCTTACACGTGTCAAAGTATAACTGTCCCTTCATAAATCCATAACCCCCCAAAGAGACATTCATTTTCAAGAGGCAGTAAGAGCGCGAAAAAAAAATGTAGTATATATCTCGCATTACTATTGTACAAAATGAGGCTTTCGCGCGCGTGTGTGCGTGCGTGTTAAAAACGTGCGCTTTGTCTGTGCAGTAACGTACGACGCCCTGATGGTAATCGAAATGTTGTTGCTGTGCTACGCGGCAAGGCTGATTTACGCCGGCGACGAGAACGAGGCGGTTGTAACCAACAACGCCAGCAATGCGAGCAGCAACGGCGGTCAGACAGATCAGCAGCGCGACAAGAGCCTGACGAACGGCCATGACTCGGTCAGCCTCCAAATTCAGCAGCAACAGCACGCGCCTGCTGCTACACCCAAGAACCAGACCTCTTGAAGATCTACATCAAGCCGCGCGCTTCTGTGCGCCTTCATGTCGCTGTAGTCCCGTACACACACACACACACACATACACAGACTACCAAAGCTCTTTTCGTCGCTTTGATGTGTGCGCGTGCACACGCACTCGCACACACATACTCTGCTTTTATTATTTCTTTTTCCGTGGAGAGATGCGTTGCACGGAAAAGGACAAGGTGTTGCGGTACGCTGATAACGCGCTGCTCGTGCCTTTGTATTCGGATGTACGGATGCAGGAAAGCAAGCGAGCAAGCCAAGCCAAACAGAGACATGCACATTTATGTACGAACAGTCTTTCCGAATGCCAGTCACGTACGCGCTCTTGTGGCTTGTATCCTATACACACATGCACGCTTTGATTGAAACGTGTTACTTATGTAAAAGCGCTCCACTGCAAGCGACTTACTCTTTGTGACACTGCAGTCCGATATAAGTGATTATGCGCGTGACAATATCGAGTCTCATTATTTCGTATATGCAAAACGTTTAGCTAAATCGACCGGTACACGCTCGACGAGACAGTTTTCTTGTTATTATGAGTCTCTGTTCAACTGTTAATCGACGTGTATTCATTTTAATGAGTTTCTCTATTATGAACAATCAATACAGTCCTAATGATTTGCAGATTATCGATTTTACCAAGATTTTAAATATCTTAAGACTTGTTTTTAGTCATTAACTGTTACTTTACTTGAGTAACTTTAGAATACAGCTAGTACTTAAATGTATAACTGAAATGATTAAGTTATTTTATAAAATTAAATTAATTGTTCCATTCGGCATTATACTTATTATATTATTTGGCATTCTAATTTAATGGTTAGATGATTTTTAGAACATTGTAACTGTAGATTATCAGTTTTATGATTACAATAGTAAAAACAATTATTAATAATTTTCTTAAAAAAAAATTTAGTCTAAAATGAATGAAGTCAATGAATTGATAAATACACTTAAGATGTATTGCGAATAATTTTGTCTTATAAAAAAAACACAGAAAGACAATTTTGTTTTCTTTTCTGACCATTACCATACAGAGTTACATTTTTTAAATATTTTTTAATTATACGGAAAATTTCCATTTACAGTAGTAGTACTATTGCAAATATATTTTATAGAGCAAAAATAATAGCCAAATAATCTCCGTTAGAACTGAATGAAAATAACTCGAACCGAGATTGAAATTGAAATTAGAAACAAACGCAGATAAGAAAAAGAATGATTTAAAAGCAGAAGCGTCTTTGAAAATTATGAAGAAGCGTCAGGTGAAATCGCCGAGCGTTTGTTTCAATCAACAAGTTACGGTGCACTTAATTTTCATGAGTGTGCTCTAAAAGAAGAAGTCTTGACTCATCATCAACGCGCCACCCACATTACTCTCACAGGCACACATTTTCTCTCGTTTTAGAAACTCTTTCGCCACCCATTAGGTCTCGTTAGCCAGAAAACTCTCGACTTTGAAAATCACAACACTCGTTGGGGCAAGAGAACGAGGAGAACAGACGGAGAACGCAGCGAGAGACAGAGCGAGGAATGCGAAAAGGGAGACGAAGAAGTAAAATAACGCCGAAAGGGAAAGTGACGTGAGCACTTTCAGTCGAAATGACGGGACAAAAGTTGCATATCTAGAAAAGTATTGCCGGTGCGAAGCTCTCGAGGCCTCGGATATATTTTTCTTCGTCTCTCAGTCACTCACGCCGTGGCGAACAGGTCAAAATAGAGCCACATGTTGCTCACTCGTGAACGCACTATCATCGTCCGACGAGTGCCAGACCCTCGAGTGACTTGCAGCTCTCTCATCTCCGCACTCCTTCGCCTGTGCGAGCGCTCTAACTGTTCCAGCGTGCAGCTTTTTCGAGAGATACAGGAGGAGCAAACTGAAAAATGCTCCGGAACGCGTTGTACGTGCCCCCGAGTGCATTACGCGGTGCATACGTTGCTCCTTCCCGGTCTTTTTTATTTTCTCAGTGTGCGTCGCCGATTCCCGCTAACACGCCTTCGGCTTCTTCCTTCGGCAAAGCAATTAGTTAAAGAGGGCGAGGCCGGCGCTTCGTTTGTCCCCGGGGAGTCAACCAATACTTTGACACTCTTCGTTTTTTTCCTTTTTTTTCTTTTAAATTAGATCACGCCGCCTATTCACGCGCGTGTAGGAAAAACATTTCCTGTCGCAGTTACTTGATCATTTAATTTGTCGTTTTCAAGATCTTTTTCACAGCTGTGCCTTTTCTCGGGTGCGATGTCGCGTTTTTGTATAACCGTGAAGAAAAACACTCGCGACACGTTAGATTCGAGGAAAATAAAGCGGAAGGCTCAGATTATTAATTTCCGTGAGCGTGAAATGTAGCCATAGATAGCGTCGAGTTGTTCCTCATTCGTTATCTCAGTTTCTTACGTCTGAATGTTAAATTTTTCCAAATTATCAAGATTCGCAGATAATTTTCAAGCATTTATTAAACGCGAAAAACGCTTTTTTTATCAAAGTTGTAATCGCACGCTTCAAAATTCCCTTAAACATAATAACCGTGTTGTATTATTACAATTTGAAGAATGATCCAGCCGATTGACTATAAAGCAACTGTTTGCAGCATTAAACAAACGGGAAAGAAAGAAGAACGCAATTTCACTGGTATTTATTTATTCACACTTGGCAAAGCCTGAAGAAAATACTTAAGGTAAAATACGCGCGCGTGCTTTTCAATTCAGCTCTCAATCATATAAACTGAAAGCATCTCAAGCCTGCACCCCGCCAAACGAAACTCGCTCTGTTGTCAGTGAGGCCGGAGCGTCAAAACGTTATAGAAGCAAGGGAAAACATCGGATCGCGGGAGAGACGTGCTCATTGTATTATTTTTATTCCAAGCGCGACAAAAAGAAGGAATAAAGCAGCTACCTAAGGCCTTAAGCACATACGCGTATAACGAGATGTATCCCCGAGCAAAAAATGTGTAAGGGACAGCACGCGGAACGCGAGCGAGTGAGGAGGCTAAGTCAAAAAATCAACACGAGTATGGCCTTTCGATAGCCTACCGGTAGGCGCGCGCGCAGATGCCAAAGACATCTTACACAGCTGACTTCTCTTCTTCTTTTTTTTTTTATTCGTTACGAACGTGTACCAACGCCGACAAGCGGCTTAAGGAGATTTGAAATTCTATGGGAAAATAATAACAATTTTTTTTCCGTGCCAGTCATTCGGTAATGGATTTCTCGAATTGTTACGCGAGGGGAGACAGAATTCGCTTTTTAGCCTGTTAAAATGTTTTCGGCTTTCCATAGTATTAACAATCGATTGTATTTGGAATTAGGGCCCAATTACTCTGTAAAACATGAGATTTCCACTATTCAACTTTTTTAAACGTTGAATTGTACAGTGGGCATTGATATTTTTATGTGTCGTTTGTTAGCCTGTATCAAGAAAAAACTAGTATTATAAAGTGACAAATCGAACGACTTCTTGAAAAGAAAAATTATAGGAATGATTATAATTTTGAACCATTTTAATAAAGTTTTCCAGCAAGATTTCTAAAATTGACAGTCTTAAAATAAATATCATGACTAGTATTTACTTGATAAAAACAGCTCACTTAGTAGGCTAGTAGGCTACTAAAATACGAGTATAAACTCAGTAACTCTTGAGAGTAAAAAACAAGACAAAGAGATACTAAAGAATAGAAACAAATAATAGGATACAGCCGCTATCGTCGTAACATCATTTTTAACCATTTCCTCTTATGCATCTTAACATGCAGGCAGACAAGCTTATCTAAGCTTTCGTGGGTGCGTGGTTATATTTTTCACAAGAAAAAAAAAGACAGGACAAAAGAAAAAGAAAGAAACAAGCCGATGAATTAGCGCGGACAAGTGCAGCGAAGGCCAGCTGGGAATAGTAATTTCCCGTTTTAACGAATCACGTATAGGTACCTCAAACTCCGAGCGAGATCTCTCCAAGCGAAGATGGCCTTAAAAAACGAGATTAAGCATTTTTTTTTCCAGGAAGCTACAGGCGGCGCAGCCAATTCGTATTCGTGTGGCTTTGCGCTGGTGACCCTCGAGGCTTCTCTCCCTCGCGCGCGTCTTTTTTTACAATTATTTTCGACGCTTTCGCGCGCGATGCTGATGCGCATCATATCTGAATTTATGAATTTTTATGACACGTTCGCATCGTACACTCCGCCGGATAAAAATAATTTATCGCGCGACAATTATGCTAATAACCCGTGTCATTTTGACGCGGGAGATTTTTCTTTTCTCTCTTTGGATGATTAAAATTGCAGAGCGTAATTTTTGGCGAACGTGCCACAATATGTATTATTAATTAGATTAAGAAAATGCGGATGTTGTATGCAGCTGCTGCCGCCGGTAAGATGCGCATACATCAGTTATTATGCGTGGTATAATATTATCATGTGATATACCGATGCTTTATGGATGCGAGTAAAAGATGGTATTCGATAATTTTTGGTTACTTTAATAACGTCCTTGCTGAACCCCCGTACTTTTTACGTACAGATACACACATATTCGTAAATCGTTTAGCTTAATTTGGATATTAATCACTCAACGTCACATTCTTTTAAACCTTTTCGACACTCCCAATTCTCGTCTAATAAATATTATTATTAAAACTTTAAAAATGATCGTTGTACTCAACATATAAATATCTCTTGCATCACACTTAGATGTTAACGAATTCATTGGTTCACAAAATTTCGAGCAGTCATCATTACGCTACAACATTTTTCTGTACATCTTAATAACTTCGATTAAACATTGTGCGATGAATGTTAGACGTCTGACAGAAATCAAAACACGTCGTGATAAATAGCTTTTAATTATTCGGTCTCGTAGGTCTGTAGCTACTAAAAATTTTATTCTCACGACGACGAAAGCGAAACCAAGACGTTGAAATTATCAAAAAGGAGTTGAAACAAAACTTGAAAAAAGAGAATAATTCATAAATTCAACCAACATCTTGTGCTT